CAAATTCTCTAGGAAATATACATGTAGTATGGATTTTTCCATCATCGGAGCTTGGTTTCGCTATTTTTTCATTGAAATATACATGAATTCTCCCAACTTATAATTATGTCTTATATTTAAGTCCATGTTTTAGTTCTTCATAATTTATTTCTAATGGTATTTTTCAATATATTAGGTTTCTCTACACCTTTTATCATCGATGATATATTGTCAATTATCTAATCATGTTCTATGTCTTTACAGATGGGTATGTGTTCTCGAGCTATTTTAATCATATGTATGTTATTAAATTTAATGATGCTTAACTTTTTTATGTTAATAATTTTTAAATTTTTCCTCGATTTTGTTCTATGGATCAATCGTTGATATAAAATTTAATGTTTCACATGATTTATTGGTAAGTTAATATTGTCTTGTCCATGGGCAGGTACTACGCTAGTAAATATATATATACATGATTCAGAGACTTAACCTAAAAGACTTTACATTAAACAGTAAAGGAAAATATATATAATTGTACGAGAAAAGGAAAGACTATGGGATTTCCTTAATAACGAGAGAAACGATTTTTGGAGTATAGAAAAAGAAAAAATCGTAAGTTTTTAATTTATACAGAATATTATTTTTGCTATTTTTTTAGATCGAATTCAATATTTCATTTTTCATAATTGTAAGGGTTTTTCACATTTTTTTCCTACATAAAAAGATGAGAAAATTTTGTTAGTCTAAGGAGCAAGTAGAAACATATGTAAAACATATATGGTGTCCAAAAATATATAAGTAAAACATAAATATATTTTTTTATTTTTTGTCAAGAACATAAATATTCTTTTTATTTGTCGTTTTAAGAAACATAATAAATATTCTAAAACATAAGTTCACGTTGATATTATCTTGACCGATTCAAACACGGACAAAAACGGCACACTGGTGATAGGGATCCAAGAATCTCCTTGTATAAATCGACTGACGGTGAACGGAGAAACCTCATCCTCGCCGTGAAGAATGTGAAATCCCGGCCAGTTTACCCTTCTACTAGTCCCCGCACCACTTCCGATGTTCATAAACTCGCCGTAATACAAAGCTGATAGGGCGAAATCGCCTCTCCATTCTCTCCTCGAACTCTGGTGCTGGCCTGGCCCGTGAGTGTTGGATCGAAATGCCTATATTCAAAATGTCATCAAACAAAGGCATCAAGAAGGTTAACGTTAACCATGAATATATATTCTAGCGGTCAAACCCTGTTCAGGTTGGTAAACCAAAGTATGGATTGGTTTTATACGATTTTAGTTTTGATAGTAGTTTACCCGTATTTTCATGTAGATCTTCTCTTCCTTGAGCTGTGATCATATTGCCTTGGTGATCCATAGGCCGTCTCACAAATATATCACAGTTTTGGAAAACAGCAGCCGCGTCGCCAAATATGAAATCAATCGTTCCTATCCAAAAAAAATTCACCAAAATTTTAATCAATATATATATGGTCACACATGACTAGTGTCTATGAATATAACCTTGAGCAAATCATATAAATATATAATACCATAAATATGACAATCGCGGTAAGCGAATATGTGAAAAGAG